GTGGCATAGAGAGTAAAGCTGCTGCCTACAGTGCCGGCATCCCATATGCCCACATGGGTGATGGTTCGAGTCCTGGCTGCTCCACTTCCCATCCAGTTCTCTGCTATGGCCTGGGAAAGCAGTACAAGATGGTCCAAAGGGCCCCTGCACCCGCGTGGGAGACCCAGAAGAAGCTCCTGGCTCCTGGCTTTGGATTGGCGCAGCTCTGGCCATTGTGGCCAGCTGGGGAGTGAACCAGTGGATGGAAGACCTCTCTCCCTCTGCCTCTCCTTCTCTCTCTGTGTAACTCTTTCAAATAAATAAATAAATACATATTTTTAAAAAATGCTAAAAAGAGACCACCGATTCCCAGATTCCATCTTCAAAAGCACTTCCACTCTGGTTTAAGAGCTGTAGAATCTGGCTGGCACCGCGGCTCACTAGGTTAATCCTCTGCCTGCGGCACCAGCACACCGGGTTCTAGTCCGGTTGGGGTGCTGGTTCTGTCCCAGTTGCTCCTCTTCCAGTCCAGCTCTCTGCTGTGGCCCAGGAAGGCAGTGGAGGATGGCCCAAGTGCTTGGGCCCTGCACCCGCATGGGAGACCAAGAGGAAGCACCTGGCCTCTGGCTTCGGATCGGCGCAGCGCACCAGCCGTAGCGGTCACTTGGGGGGTGAACCAACAGAAGGAAGACCTTTCTCTCTGTCTCTCTCACTGGCTAACTCTGCCTGTCCAGGAAAAAAAAAAAAGAGCTGTAGAACCTGGAAGGGCAGGAAGGGTGTGGCCCTACCACAGGCACTGTGACTTACTGCCCTGCTCAAAGCTTAGGCCTGGGTGCCTGGTGCAGGTGCCTTTAATTTTTCAGTAACCTTCCTAGTACAAGTGACTAATAAAAAAAAATCATTTGTAGCAGGGTAGGGGGTGGGAGTGAATCAGCTGGGTGTTTCTCTGCATACTATCTTATCAGAAAAATATTACCAGTGTGCCCTGGGGATTTGGTCATTTCTTTGGAAAATACCCTATAATTTACAAGCCATCATCACCACCAAGATTTCATTTTGGTAACAACTTCATGTGGTAGAAATAGTAGGTATAGTGCCCCAGCATGGTGGTGAAGTGGGTTAAGCCGCTTGCGACACCTGCATCCTATATGGGTGCTGGTTCAAATCCTGGATACTCCACTTCTAATCCAGCTCCCTGCTAATGCACCTGGGAAAGCACTGGGGATAGCCCAGTGCATGGGCCCCTGCCACCCATGTAGGAGACCTGGATGGAGTTTCAAGCTCTTGCCTCTGGTGTGCCAGCCCTGGGTGCTGTGGCCATTTGGGGAGTGAACCAAGAGATGGAAAATTTCATGGTCTCTGTCTCTCTAACTCTGCCTTTAAAATTAATAAATATTTTTTTAAAAAGAAATAAAATGACTTGTTCATTGTGACACAGCAAGTCATGGAAGAAGACTGCAGGGGCTGGCACTGTGGCATAGCAGGTAAAGCTGCTGCCTGTGGCATCAGCATCCCCTGTGGGCACCAGTTCAAGTCCTGGTCACTCCTTTTCCCGTCCAGCTCTCTGCTATGGCCTGGGAAAGCAGTAGAAGATGGCCCAAATGCTTGAGCCCCTGCACCCACTTGGGAGATCCAGAAAAAGCTCCTGGCTCCTGGCTTCAGATCTGCTCAGCTCCAGCCATTGTAGCCATTTGGGGAGTGAACCAGTGGATGGAAGACCTCTCTCTCGCTCTCTCTCTCTCTCTCTAACTCTGCCTTTCAAACACATAGAAAGAAGGTTGCAAACCTAAGACTTCTAGGTTAAGGAGTGTCCACATGCCACACTGTATCTCCTTGTAAAGGCCTTGGCGGAGAGGGACATTCTCAGTACCCTTTGAAAGGGCTGAGTGGAGCTCCTTCTAGTCTGGGTTCTGGCAGATAACAGAGCCAGGGAACTGTTCAAGGAAACAGAATTCACAAACATGTATCTCAGACACCAACTCTGGCTGTAGAAAAATGGTTCCATTTTTGGGACCAGTGTTGTAGCGCTGCAGATTAAGCCGCTGCCTGTGATGCCAGCATCCCATGAGTCCTGGTTCAAGTCCTAGCTGCCCCACTTCTGATCCAGCTCCCTGCTAATGTGCCTGAAAGGCACAGGAAGAAGGCTCAAGTACTTGGACCCCTGCTACCTACATGGGAGATCAACGTGGAGTTCCTGGCTCCTGGCTATGGCAGCCACTTGGGGAGTGAACCAGCAGATGGCTAGATCTCTCTCTGTCTCTCCCTTTCTCTCAATGAACTCTGCCTTTCAAATAAATAAGTAAATCTTTAAAAAAAAATAATTGCGGGGCTGGTGTGGTTGTGGCTTAGCAGGTGAAGTTGTCTCCTGGGATGCTAGCATCCCATATGGGCGCAAGTTTGTGCCCTGGCTGCCGCTCCATATCCAATCCAGCTCTCTGCTAATGACCTGGGAAAAGCAGCAGAAGATGGCCCAGGTATGTGGGCTTCTGCCACCTATGAGGGAGACCTGGAAGAAGCTCCTGGCTCCTGGTTCCAGATTGGCTTAGCTCCAGCTGTTGCAGCTGTCTGGGGAGTAAACCAGCTGATGGAAAACCTCTCTCTGTCTCTCCCTCTCTCTGTGTAGCTCTGCCTTTCAAATAAATAAATAAATCTTTTAAAAAAAAGTTTACATTAAAATATTTTTTTCCATTATTAAGGGTGAGGTGAGAACATATGGCTGGGTTCTCACACGAACGGCACTTAATCTCAAGAATTTCATAAACGAGGGAACTGGGACACAGGTGCAAAGTGATTTTTCCGGGCAAAGGGAACTCAGGAAGCTTCCCCAGATGGAATCTGAGCTGATCTCACATTTCAGCCGCAGGGAAACGGGTGGCGAGGTGGTGCTGCAGCCGGTGCCTGGCCTCCAGGAGCTGCTGCCGCCTTTGCAGGAGGTCTCTGATCTCCAGTTTGGCTGGAAAATGACCTCCTTTCCTCCTGCTTTATGCTGAAGCCACCGGGGCCTCAGGGAGCCACAGCAGGGTCTGGAGAGAAGGCCATTAAGCTCAGGACGGAGCCACTGCCTGGCCGGGGCCTTCGCTTTCCTAGAAGGCTGACTGAGCACAACGTTCTGGGGATGATCCAAAGCTGGCTGGCACCGCCTCAGGGCCTCATGCCCCGTCTTCTGTGTTTCCTAGGAGTTAAGTGCAGTTGGCACACTCAGGTTCCATACTCCCATCTACGGCGATGCAGCGCCACCATGGCAAGGAAGCTGGAGAGCAAACCAGTAAGCACTGAGGCCCAGTTTGCTTCCTAAGGTCTCATTTAAGTCACTTAGAGCAGTCGAGAAAAATATAAACAGATCATTGCTGAGTGAAAGATGGAGGCACAATCCAGGGACTTGCAGCAGCCAGGGTCATGAGCCAGCAGTGCCTTCAACTGCGCCAATAAATAGGAAATGTGCCGAGCTGCGGTCATGGGGAAGAAAGAGCCCTCCCTCCCCCAACACACGCTGCCCCTCGGCTCCTGCTGCAAGGCTGCCTCAGCTCAGGTCTGCTTGCTGAGTCCAGGTGGGCTCCCGGCCAGCAAATGCTGGGTGCTGACCTCAGCACAGGCAAGAGCCACACCCTATGGAGGGAGGTGCCACTACCCTGAGGTCCCCACAAAGCACAGTCTGCTGTTGGGGGCGGAGGTTGGGAAGGATTCCGGCTGACCCTACTGACAACGGGTTGCAAGAGCCTGGCTTGGAGAACCAAGGAACACAGCTGCATCAGAGTTACACTTCTACCATACACATATGGTCGGGTTATGTCCCACGGTCACCACCTCCATTGGGCTCTCTCTCCTTGCAAACGGCAAGGAATGGTCATGGAAGCTGTTGCAGAGGGAGCCAGCTTGGTTGTCTACAATGGCAGAATTCTTCCCTCCCACCAGAGTTCCAGAGCTGGCTCCAGGCCGTGCCATGTCTGAGAGGCAGGGCGGCCCGTGGAGAGTGCTCCACAGTGGAAATCAGAAAGGTGGGTCCAGCTCTCTGTCCACCTCTGCCGAGCGGCATGAAAGGAAGCAGTCGATTCTGCTGGGCTGTTCCCTCCATCTGGGCTGATTCCTTATCTGTAAAATGACAGTTAGTCTGTACTACCATGGCCCCCTCGACTTCCCATCTTCCAGTGTTTTTTAGACTCCATGAAATTAGCTTCAGGGGCCCTACTGCTGGAAACGTAAACTACAGAGCTGCCGAACTCTCAGAACAACTTCAGGTTCAAAATGAAAGAATGAAAAGAAAGAAAAGAAACTCTCTTTGGGTGAACCAGTGGATGGAAGGCCTTTCTCTCTCTGCCTCTGCCTCTCCATAACTCTGCCTTTCAAATAGTAAATAAATAAATCTTTTTTAAAAAATAAAACTTTCTTTGGTAGCAGAATAGCAAAGTAATGAGTTCAGACACTTTGGGAGGAATAGAAGAGTACACACTGCAAAACAGGAAATCCATTCTTGGCTGGCTGCCAACATGCCCGAGCTGCTCAAAAGTCAGGCCCTGCTCAATTTTGGGTTTCTTAAAACTAACAAAGCCTAATTATTTAGACTCATTAGACTCAAAATCACTGTCCCCCACCCCCGAGTTTTCTTGAACGCTAAGATCTCTAGTTCTGCCTCTGAGGCCGCGATGGCTCCACCCTGGGCACGAGGCTGGAAGCCCCCTGGAACCTGCTCACCACCATCAGCACTGTTAAGGATGACAAGTCACATGAGGCCTCGTTTTGAGCTCTGTCTATACTGACCTCTCCTCCCAACAGCATATCACCCTCAAACTTGCCAGGAACCCAATTTAAAGTCTGACTCCTCCAGAGCCTTGGCTACAAGGGCACTGAGATGGTTGCTGAATGGTGAGGAAAAGTCCTCACCAGCCTCCTCAGACATCTCCAAACTACACGGCAGGGTTTCTATAATCCCACCTAGGTTCAGACTGCAAACTCAATTTTTAAAAAGGCATTCAATAGGGAGAGCAAAGCTTACAAAAATGAGCTTTAGAAACAGCAAACTCGGATTTCCATAGAAAGCAGAAAAATAATTTATTCCAAAAAGATGGCAGAAACCAATTCAGCCTGAAAACACAGTGTGGTGTCAAAACGCTGGGGCGGTCTTCCCTCGGAGCTCGCTCTGCTCCTGTCGGCCCCACTTGAGTCTGTTTGTCTTGCAGTAGCGTCAAGCACTTGGCGGGTTCCAGGCGGCGAGCTGGCAGGCCCAGCCTCAAACCCGCGGATTCCAAGGCGAGAGTAACAGATTTCTCAGGAGAACAGCAGCTCCCATCTCAGAGGAGGAGGGGAGCCTCTTGTGGAGGTGGCACGGTCTAGGCTGAGCAGGCACATAATTCATCAAAGTGTGAAAGCAGGTGGAGGACAAAACGCTGTCAGAGAAGAAGACACTCGGAGGTGATATGGACGTTAAGGCGGCTGACGCCCAGGACAGGCGAGTAAGGCGGCGGTCTGGGTCCAGAGGTGATTCTGCATCTACAGCAAGTTCTCTGTGTGACCTGCAAAAACCAAAGCAGTCTGGTAACTGGGCCGCACGCCTGTGCGTGGGGTGGGGTGGGATGGGGTGGGGTGGGGGACGCAGAGTAACATCCAGAATGTCAGTTACAGCAATCCTTTACCAGAGGTAGGTGCTCATCGAACACCGGATGGGAAAGCGGGCTCAATCAGTAGGCAAGTCCGGGTGGCCCCCGCGGGGCTGTGGCAGGAGGCTCACTTACAAGGACTTGACTGAACTGAGACCCAGTGGAAAGCAGGAAGGATGGCGCTAAGACTCATGGTACTGGAGTAATTTTCCCTTCCCCCTTGCACAGCACGGGAGAGGGCTGGCTCCTGAAGAGCGGGCTTCCTGTCTGTCCTCAGGCTGCCCTCCAGTTAGCCCCGTGTTCTTGCTACCACGAAGTGCGGGTGACAAGTGACAATTTCCGGTTTAAAGCTGCAGCACCCCCCTTGCAAAGGTAGCAAACATTTAAAACAGTATCTTCACACATTAAGCTGCTAACAGGACCACATAACCTCCTTTATATAAAATTTATGGTATAATATCCACATAAATAAAGCCATACATGCCATATGCTACTTTTGAAATTAGAAACCGAATTGTGAGGAAATAAAAGTTAAAGATTTTCTTTCATAGGCAATTTCCACACAAGACTTCAGTTGGCTGATAAGAAATCAAGCCGAGGGACAGGTGTTTGGCTCAGCAGTTAAGATACTGCTTAGGGGGTTAAGCCGCTGCCTGCCATGCCAACATCCCATAAGCGTGCAGGTTCAAGTCCTGGCTGCTCCACTTCTGATCCAGCTCCCTGCTGATGGCCTGGGAAAGCAGCAGAGGATGGCCCAAGTGCTTAGGCCCATGCACCCACGTGGGAGACACTTGCATCAGATATCAGAGCTCCTCTTCTGATCCAGCTTTCCCTAGTGGGCATTCTGGGCAGAAGCAGGGATGGCTCAAGTACTTGGCGCTGCCACCAAGTGGGAGACCTGAACTGAGTTCCTGAATCCTGGCTTCAGCCTGGCCCAGCCCTGGCTATTGCACATTTGGGGGAGTAAACCAGTGGATGGAAGATCTCCAAAAACAATAAATTAGTTAATTAACTAATTTTTAAAAATTCAGGTGTGACAGGGTTTTTCTGATTGAAGGTCAAATAGCCGTACCTCCATGTAATTTTCCAAATCAACAGGCATGACCAACAGATCAGCGGGTAGAAACCAGGTTTCCCGGGCCCCCGGTCTCAGAGTAGCCAGAAATGCACAAGAGTCTGCTGCTCAGTCGTACAGGTGCGAGCCGGGGCAGTCCACGTGCCCTCAGAGCACAAAGCGCCGGGCTGCTGGGGTCCCACCGTGGCAGGACACCACAAAAGGCACTCAACTCAGGAGTCAGGACTGTTTTTCACAATGTGCTAGGAAAATAACATCAAACCAACATGTGGCAATTACCAGGGCCACTTGTTTTCATGAGCTAAAAGCCTAAGAAAGCCTCTTATTCCAGTCTACCACCACCATTTTCTGTCTCCCTCCCCAGGCCAGCAGCACAGCCCTTCTGTGTAAGCCTCGGGTGCAAGCACCTTGGACTTGTTGCCTGAGAATACTAAACCAGTGAACACAGACGTCTGTGTGCTCATTTTCCATGAACAGCATACTGGTTAGACTTCTTCCTCGTTTTTTCAACAAAAAAAAAAAGGGGGGGGGGGGAATAGGCCTTCGTTCTTTAAAAGCCATACACCCAGAGGGTAATTTTCACTGAAGTTCAATGACACCAGTTTACAATAAACGGGAGTGGGGCTGGTGCTGTGGCATAGCAGGTAAAGACATCACTTGCAGGGCAAGCATTCCTATGGGTGCTGGTTTGAGTCCCGGCTGCTCTACTTCCTATTCAGCTCCCTGCTAATGTGCCTGAGAAAGCAGCAGAAGATGGCCCAAGTCCTTGGGCCTCTGTGCCCCTGTGGAAGACCTGGGTGAAGCTCCTGGCTCAACCTGGCCGAGTCCTAGCCATTGAGGCCATTTGGTGAGTGAACCAGTGGGTGGAAGAGTTTTCTTTCTCTTTCTACCTCTGTAACTATGCCTTTCAAATAAACAAATAAATCTCAGGAAAAAAATGGGAGTAACGTGGGTGTTGAGGTATGGTGGTTAAACCGCTAGGACACTCACAATCCCCTTCTCAGAGTGCTTAGGTTCCAGTCCTGGCTCCTCCACTCCTGATTCTAGGTTCCTACTAACATGCACCCTAGAAGTACTTGAGTCCCTGCCATCGTTGCAAGAAAGCTGGCTGGAATTCCAGGTCCTGGCTTTGGTCTAGCCCAGCTCCAGCTGTTGCAGGCATTCAGGAAGTGAACCAGTAGAAGGAAGAGTGGAAGATATTTCTCTCTCTCGCCTGCTCTATCTTTCAAATAAATAAATAAACTTAAAAAATAAAATAGAGTGAATATTATGGTAAAGGGCATTGCTTTTTTTTTTGACAGGCAGAGTTAGTGAGAGAGAGAGACAGAGAGAAAGGTCTTCCTTCCATTGGTTCACACCCCAAATGGCTGCTACGGCCAGCGCGCTGCGCCGATCCAAAGCCAGGAGCCAGGTGCTTCCTCTTGGTCTCCCATGCGGTGCAGGGCCCAAGCACTTGGGCCATCCTCCACTGCCTTCCCGGGCCACAGCAGAGAGCTGGACTGGAAGAGGAGCAACCGAGACAGAACCGCACCCCAACCGGGACTAGAACCCAGGGTGCCGGTGCCACAGGCAGAGGATTAGCCAAGTGAGCCGCGGCACCTGCCAAGAGCATTGCTTTAAGGCTTGATTTTAAACTACATTAAGGAAGCATGCAATCATCTCTCTCTCTCTCTCTTTTTTTTTAATAAGAAGCTTTCTTCCACCTCTAAATTATGATTTTTCTGTTATTCTCAGGTGATATTTTTAAGACTTTTTTTAATTTAAAAAAATTTTTATTTATTTATTTATTTTTGACAGGCAGAGTGGACACTGAGAGAGAGAGAGACAGAGAGAGAGAGAGAGAGAAAGGTCTTCCTTTGCCATTGGTTCACCCTCCAATGGCCGCCACGGCTGACGCATCACGCTGATCCAAAGCCAGGAGCCAGGTGCTTCTCCTGGTCTCCCATGGGGTGCAGGGCCCAAGGACTTGGGCCATCCTCCACTGCACTCCCGGGCCACAGCAGAGAGCTGGCCTGGAAGAGGGGCAACCGGGACAGAATCCAGCGCCCCGACCCGGACTAGAACCCAGTGTGCCAGCGCCGCTAGGTGGAGGATTAGCCTAGTGAGCTGCAGCGCCGGCCGTAATCATCTCTCTAATATGAAATTACATGTTTGGGAGTGGGGGCCTGGGCAACTCAATCAAAGGGTGAGTTCTCACTTTGTGAAATAAAGAAATCATTAAGATACAATCAGATAAAAGTGAGAATGAAGATAGTAGAAAGACAGTAGATAGTAGAAGATAGTAGAAAAACCTGCTCAGGGAAAGGTAAGCAAATGTATTTCTTAAAGGATCTGCATGTGTGGTTTAATTTTACCCTTGTTTTTCTCACTTCAGATATATTTGCCGAAAAGTTCCTTCTTTACTACACAATGAAAGATTGATAGTGTAAGAGATTAACTTCCAGAAGTAGGTGAGTCAGCTGAAGATCTATATATTTAAAAGATCTATACCTTTAAAAGATCAGGGCAGGGCCGGCATTGTGGCATAGTGGGTAAAGCCACCAACTGCAGTGCTGCCATCCCTTATAGATGCCAATTCAAGACCCGGCTGCTCCACTTCCAATCCAGCTCTCTGCTATGGCCTGGGAAAGCAGTAGAAGACGGCCCAAGTTCTTGGGGCCCTGCACCCACATGGGAGACCCGGAAGAAACTTCAGATTGGTGCAGCTCTAGCCACTGCAGCTATCTGGGGAGTGAATCAGCGGATGGAAGACCCAGCCCTGCCCTCTGCCTCTGCCTCTGCCTCTCTGTACCTCTGCCTTTCAAATAAGATTTATTTATTTATTTGAAAGGCAGAGTTACACAGAAAGAAGGAGAAGCAGAGAGAGAGATAGAGGCAGACAGACAGACAGAGAGAGGTCTTCCATCCGCTGGTTCACTCCCCAGGTGGCCGCAATGACTGGAGCTGTGCCGATCCGAAGCCAGGAGCCAGGAGCTTCTTCATGGGTCTCCCATGTGGGTGCAGAGGCCCAAGGACTTGGGTCATCTTCTACTGCTTTCCCAGGCCATAGCAGGGAGCTGGATTGAAAGTGGAGCAGCTGGGATTCGAACCAGCACCCATGTGGTATGCTGGCACTGGAGGCGGTGGCTTTATCTGTTGTGCCACAGCGCCTGCCCCATAAATAAATCTTAACAAAAATAAAAATAAATAAATTTCAACTCATGAATTTAAAATAAAATATCAGGGTAACATGCCAAATAAACTGCAAAAACTGAAGACCCACACATAAAGGTACTTCAAAAAGTTGATAGAAAAATCAAATTAAATGATAAGTTTATTTTGTGTGAAAAACTTTGAAAACCATGCACGGTTTTCATAAAATGTAATTTCTACAAATTTTTTGAAGACTTTGGTTATATTTAGGGATGGAAGAAATCACTCTGAAACAAGGTGGTCAAGAAGGAAGTGCCAGCTTATACACTGGGCATCGAGAGAGACAATGTAGGAGTTAGAAGGGGCCGGTGCTGCGGGATAGGGGGTAAAGCTGCTGCCTGCAAAGCCGGCATGCTGTATGGGCGTGGGTTCGAGTCTGGGCTGCTCCACTTCCAATCCAGTTCCTGCTAATGTGCCTGGAAGAGCAGTGGAGGATGGCCCAAGTGCTTGGGCCCCTGTACTCACGTGGGAAACACAGATGGAGTTTTCCAGGCTCCTGGCTTTTGTCTGGCCTAGCTCCTGGGGTTGTTTAGGGAGTGAACCAGCAATTGGAAGATCTCTCTCTGCCTCTGTGTCTGCAAGTCTGCCTTTCAAGTGAATAAAATAAATCTTTAAAAAAAAAAAAGAAAGAAAATTAAGAGAGAATGGA